TTTAAATATTTTAACATTTTTTGAAATATTTTGAAATTAATCTCATGTAATATTTCATAATTTATTTCGAATTATTTTGAATTTTCTTATGTAAGTTTACATAATTTTGATACTTCGCATTAATTCGAAATAGTTTACGCAATATTACACTTTTTTTACATTTCGTAAATTATTTCGAAATATTTTGCCTCATTAAATTTGCTGATGAGATAAAAGCTTAGAATAATAGTGATACTCGTATATTTTGAATAAATATATTTACTAACCAAAGGCTTTTAACCATACAGTGCTGCATACAGTTCTCCAGATATTTTACAAAAAAACTGGTCTAGATTGAATAATATCCCCCAAATATCGAGAGATAGAAGAATAACACAAATAATTGTTACTGAGCACTATATACTTTGTTATTAAATATATCAAATCGCACTATTATTATGAAAACTGGATCACAAATCGCTTGTAAAAAAGGGAGATACTATACCAGGGGTACTATATGCAACGCTATATAGTAAAATAGATTAGTCATAGCAAAAAAAGTTCAGATTATGCACTTCAGACCTCTTTGATATAGCTTGATAAATCTTGATTTATCAGGCTATATCAAAAAGGTCTGAAGCATGTAATCTGGATATTTTTTGCCATGACTAACCTAATTTTCAATTAGTAGTACTATTAAAATTAGATAAAATAAAAACAAATACATACCTTACATCACTTCTACCAATAGCAAAATAATATTCACTATAGTTCCAAACAATCTTATTAATCTTTCTTTCATTAATAGTTAGAGTATAAAAATTCAATAGTTTTCTAAGATCTCAAATTTACCCAAATATCTTCAGATACAGTTGCTGAGAAATAACTATTAGACATCTGAATGAAATTCAAAGTTAAATATCCTATACTTAAGTATATATTATATATATAATATATATATAAAAAGTAAAAAAACCTGTTTTTTTATAATTGTCAATAGTATCATCCATAGGAGGTGAACTACTAATTATAGCTATCTAATAAAGAACCATATGTAATTTTCTTGTCAATAATTTCATCCTCTACACTATTACTAGTATTAGTCTCTGTGTTATCACTTTTTTAAGATCCATAAATCTAGTCTTTGTTTCCTTTAAAAATTGTGGTAATAATTCTTTTTGAATTTTGATAAATTTTTGAAACATCTAATGAGTGTGGTATTTACTATACTGGCAGCTGTGACAACTTCTATATGTTTGCACTTTATTTGTTCAAGGGGATTATTATTGAGTTATTGAGCTTATATGCCCCTTCCTCACACATAAGTGTCGTAACCAACCTTAACCAAGTTATATTCTTTTTACAACTTAAAGAAATAAGGCTTAAACAGAACTTGACTTATTGTACTATAACAATATTCAAGTATTTCATACTGGTTTTATTTATTTTATATTTAAACATTTGCTAGTATCCTAATAAAATAATTAGTGCAATATTATAGTTACTATACACAAAGAAATTAATGAATATAGTAATAATCACAAAATTACTTTTTAAAAGCATCTCTTTCTTTCATCAGTCTAGCAATAACTCTATATGCAGTATCATATTGGTATAAAATGTGTAGCTTAGTTCATGACAAACTTGCTAATATTGTTATTTGTAAAAATATTTAACATAAAATTATTTATTTAAAAATAAATTATTTGAATAATATTTAAAATTAGTGCTGTTAAATTAATACCAGGAAGTAAATAATCAAGTTTTAACTATAGCTAATATATAATATTATAAATATAATTAGTTCACTATAGTGAAAACTTGAATATTCTCCTTTAGCAATATTTAAATATATATTTCTTTAATTTCTAATAGTAATCTTAATATATATGCTTCTCATCATTTATATTACGTTAAAATTTATTATTTTATTTATTTGATCATGCTAATTTATTTATTAAATTATAATATATATAGCTAGATAAAAGATTATGCACAAGCAGGGTGTGGCGACTTAGTGAAGTGGTGAAGTTGTCACACCCCCAAGCAGTTGAGTACAAGTTCAATTCCCACTGGAGATGAAAATTGAATTTCGAAAAACGGATTCGGTAACT